TTATGTGAAATCCTATATATGCTAATAATAACTTGACAAAAATTTTATCTATGTTTTTCTATTATTATGTGTGCATATCTGTCCCATTTTAAAGGAAGGATAACTTTTTATTGTATCATTCTTTCTTCACTTGTATTAAAAAAATTAAATATTTTTTCAATTTTAGATGCCACATGTATCTCATTAATCTGATGTGGTAAATTTTGTTAATAAGATAATAGAGTTATTAATAGTATGGGGCTTTGATAAGAAAAAAAAATTAAAGAGGTTAATTTTAAAGGTTTAAAGGAGGGAAGAGTTATACACAATTATATAAAAATTCAAGAGAGTTTTATAAATTTTAGCATAATTTTATATATGTAACAAAATAATTTTTCACATGAATCAATCTACCATCTAAAAATTAACAATACAAATAACATTAATTTCATTGACTGAATGATTAAAAGAGTGCTAGGGAGTAAAGACTAAAATAATAATAATAAAAAAACTTAAATGATGCTTGAACAATATTTTAGGGGGGGAGTGATAATTTTTGAAGGGGGCAAGTAAGAATTTCTCCCTCCTTATGACTAAGAGGTGCTATTATTTTAGTGGGGCGGCTGCCACCATTCCCTTAAACGCAGATACATCCTTGGAAGGGAAGCTTGGTGAGAAAAGCTAGGCAATTATAGCAAGAGATCAGTTGAAGTGCTTAACGTACTTGATGTTGCAAAAACACAACAGTACCATTTCACAACTTTTGTGATTGTTGGCATGGGTTTCTTCACCGATGCCTACGATCTTTTTTGCATCTCTCTCATGACCAAACTGATCAGTCGCCTCTATCACTTTAATCCAATTTAACCCCTGGCTCACTTTCTTCCAACATTTCTTCTGCTATCAATAAAGTAGGCATCATGTGGCACCCTTTCAAGCCTACTCTTTTTAGTTGGCTCGGAGACAAAATGGGAAGGAAGCGAATCTATGGGATGATTTTGATGTTCACGGTGGTATATGTTCGATTGCCTCGGGCCTCTCTTTTGCAATGAACAAAAAGCTATCATGACCACATGTTTTTGGCTTGGGCTCGGCATTGGTGGGGACTACTCTCTCTCTGCCACCATCATGTCTGAGTACACCAACAAGAAGACTGGAGGGGCTTTCATTGTCGTAGCTTTTTCCATGTAAGGTTTTAGTATTTTAGCTGGTGTATGGCATGGTTGCTATTATAGTTTCAGCTGCTTTTGAAGTTAGATACCTTGCACCTTCATATTGTGAAAACCTATTGTTATCCACAGCAAGTTGATTATGCTTGGAGGATAATTTTGATATTTGGTGCCTTGCTTGCTCTGCTCACATACAATTGGCGAATGAAGATGCCCAAGACTACCAGATACATTGCCTTGGTTGCCAAGAATGCTAAGGAAGACCTAAAAAAGAAAAGCTTTTACAGAGAAGGAGAATCCGTAGAACCAGATCAAGAAAGGTGGAGACCCAAAGCGGTCTTGACTGGTGTCAAGCTTGGTTAACTAGAGGTAGTGGGAACAAGGAAACTTGATGACTTAAATCTTGATTTTCTTTCTTTTAGTCACCATCAGGCTTGATTTGCTAATTGCATGCCTTCATTTTCTTTTCATCCTCTTATGCTATCTTGTTCTAAATTATGGTGATGGACATTTCATAATCAAAGAGGAAAGAACTATTAGGGTTTGATGATGGAAGAAGAGAGGGACTGAATGGAAAATATATTTTTATTAATCACTTAAACTATAATTTACACAAACACTCATTACTCTTCTTATATTTTCCCTCACTCTTTTTATATTACTCTTCTTATATTTTTCTCAATGTCACTAACACATAGATAATACACTCTCACATACACATACCATTCCTTTCTTCCCAGCCGCACACGTGCGCCTCTCTTTTCTCTCTATTTCTTTCTTCTCTTCTCTCCTTTGTTGGCTACACCACACACATATAAATGACACACACATATTTATACCACTCGAATGTCAGTGGAGTTTTTCTCATCAGCCTTCTCTGTTTCTCTTCTTTCATCGACATAACCAAGAATCTGCTAGAAGCTAAATGTTTTAATATAACCTAAAAAATTCTAAAGAGAGGGAGAGAGTTGGTCGGTGATATCATAACACTCCCCCTCAATGACAACTCTCTCTAGCTCTGTCATTTCACATTACTTCTTCTTTTCTTTAGTCTTTTGAACAATTTATTAAACTTGTCACAATCAACTCTCTCTTGTTAAAGATACTTGTACTTGACCAGCTTCGCTTTGTGCTTCTCATACCTTTTGTGATGGTAGAGGTTGATCTTCTTCTTTATCTTCTTAATTTATTAAACTGTGAATGCAAAAATATGATTCAATCACTTTCTTCAAACTAAGCTCTTCCATGCCGTCCTCATCCTTATCTACATCTTGGTCTTCATTCACTTTAGCATTCTCTTCCTTGACTTCATCTACTTCTTTCTTGATGTAGAGTGCTATTCTTCTTTAATGGCACTCGAAGCTTGAAAATCCCATTCTTCCTTGTTGTGATATTTATTGTTAGAGGTGACAACATTTCCTTTAGCCCTTCTCTGCCAACAATCTCTGGCAAAATGGCCGATCTTCTTGCAATTATAGCATTGACCTTTCTTTTAATGATTTTTCCTCTCTTGAGGCTTGCCTCAATCTTTACAAGCTCTCCCTTGATGTGAGCTTTTTGTTGTGGCATCTTCCATGCCAATCATTTTGTCGCCTTCCATCATTTTCATGCTTCTTTGAGTTGAAATCTTCTCGGTGATCTCTCTTTTTGCAAAAGAGAGCATTTTCCTCATCTTTCAGAGATTTGTGTATCCAAAGCTTCCTGATTAATAGGATACCTTCTAACTCAACTATAATTGGTTCCTTAAACCAATCTCTTGTTGCCATAACTATGATGATATTGTGGGTTTATTCAATACCATAATAATAATTCTCCTCATCTTTGTATCAGTGATGGGGTTTCTTTCATCTAACTTTGAAATCTCATTACAAATATATTTAGCTTTTGAAAAACACTCACTCACCCATATATCATTTTGTTGAATTGAAGCAAGCTCATTCTCCAATAATTGCAACTTCGCATCATTTGCTCTTGCAAATAGCGAGGCTAATGTATCTTATGCTTCCCTCGACATCTTCACTTCTTTGACATATCTAAGAAATTATGGCTTAATAATAACAGCCAGTATGTAAAAAGCTTTCTTAGCCCTTACCTGCCACTTCTTCAATTCACTTGGATTTATTGGAGATGTAGCATTATCTCCATCAATGAGATTCCAAAGATTTTGACCTCCAAGTTAGAGTTCGACCATTGTACCCTATACTTGATAATTCTCATCATTTAACTTCTCCACTAAATAAGTATTTGACATCAAATCAATCATGATGACCTTAGCAATGCCTTTCACTTGCACCAAATTGATCTGCTCCCTGACCGAATTACTTCACAATCCTTAACTATATATTAGCAAAACTTTAAGCAAATTCAAACTCATAGAGTCTTTCGCCTGAATACTCTAACTCTACCAGCTATTCCTGAGCATCCCAGCTATGCCTCAATAGCTTCGGTTCTGATACCAAATGTTGGGATTTGATGATGGAAGAAGAGAGGGACTAAACTAAAAATATATTTTTATTAATTACTCAAACTATAATTTGCACAAACACCCATTACTCGTCTTATATTTTTTCCTCACTCTTTTCTTTTTCCCAGGGTCATTGATACACTCTCACATGCACGCCATTCCTTTCTTCTCACCTCACGTCACACACGCACGCACGGCTCTCTTTTCCCTCTCTTTCTTGCCTTCTATCCTTTGTTCACTACATTACACACATAAAAATGACACACACACACAGACACATTTATGCTACTCCAATGTTGGTGGAATTTTTCTTCTCTTTTTTCACCGCCATAACCAAGAATCTGCTACAAGCTTAAATATTTTAACATAGCCTAGAAAATTCTAGAGAGAGGGAGAGAGTTGGTCGGTGATATCTTAACAAGAAGATAATGATTTTGGCAAATACGACGAGTTTTGGAAAGGAGGCGGTGAGGGAGAATAGCTTCATCTGCGTAACATCCTTTTTCGAAGGAACCACAAGGCTGACACCTTGAAGAAACCGTTCGAAATTCATGAGCGAGCAGCCATAGCAACACGACAAAATTGACCCTCACCAGCACCACAGTGTACTCTTCCAACACCTCCGCCGCAATCGTCGCCAGTCTCATTATGCAATGATTCTTGCTTGGCTCCGTAGTCATCCAAAGATCCATCTAGAACTGAAAAATGAACGAGCTTGATCTTTATGGACCTAATTATTAAAAGCCTAACCGACTTAAAACTTAAATTTAAGTTTTTATTTTTTATTTTTTTTAAAGCTTGACTTTTATTTAAAGGGTTTAAAATTAAGCCCGTAAACTTTGTTTTAAAAAAATTAAAATAAAATTAAACACTATAAATTAATTAAAATATTTTTAAATTAAAAAAATTAAAATACTCACAAGCTTTTAAAAATTAAATAATATACATTTAAAGTCTAGTAAAAAAATTTAAATATTGATTAAAAAATAGTTCATTTTTTATAAATACATAAATATAATAATTATAGAAAAATAAAAAATATTAAAAATTTTATATTGTACATTAATATTTATTAAATTATATTAAATTAGTTTTAAAATAAATTAAAATTAATAATAATGTAATGCATGTAGGAGCAAGGTTTTAGATAAGCAGATCCTTCTTGGCTTCAAATGCTTGTTTCACAAAATAATAATAATAATAATAATATAATAGGGCTTGAAGGATCATCGAGACTTGAGTTTTTTTTATAGAGCTTATCACGGTCAGGCCTTTAAGTTCAATTACTTTAAAAAAAAATTTAATTTTTAAAACTCGAACCTTTATTTAAATCAAACCTCCAAGTTCAGTGACTCTATATTCATCCAAGCACTTGATCAACAAAAGGGTGAATGGAGGCGTCGTGCGCTGAGAAAACGATAGTTCTCGGCGCGGAAACCTTCTTGTCGTTGCCGCTGGATCCTCATCGGTGATCGGGGGTTTGCGCCGTCTTTGCGTGAATCAAAGAATCTTCTTCTCGCTGTCGTTTCGCGTAGACACGGGAAACGCAGAGTTCGGCGACAAATCAAGAAACGCACTGTCAAAACCGGGGAGGCTCACTGGATCTTGAGCTTGATGGGTCTGACTTATTGATTTTCAGCCCATTTCTCCCAACTCATCCCTTGAACAACCACAAGGCCCAAAAGACAACTTGCACTATGCCATGTTTGATAAGAACCTTTCTATTAACTAACTCGAATGATGATTATAAACAATACAACATTTCTGTTCTTGAAAGATCATAGATCAAATCAATTCACTTGGGTGATAAGCAAACCCCAAACATGGGGACAATGAGGTGAAGATCGTGCTAACCTCCCTTTCTTATATAGGATTAAATCCTCATACCTAAATGCCCAACCCTTATCTCTTTTTAGCAACTAATCATGATTGACTGACACTTAACCATAATTAACAACTAATATTCAAACATCTGTACCAAAATTATAACGAGATAATTAAAAATGAATGGCATAGTAAAGACTAATTATAACAGATAACAAGCGTGAAATATCATATATTTATAGTAACTCGAATTGTATTCTGTCACTCCCTCTTTGGCCGATGCATGGAACATTATTCACCAACATCAAGTCTGTGCTTTATACAAACAAAAAGCATTTACCATGGAGAAGACAGCTATATATATATATATATATATATAACGTTATGTTCTGCGGAAAAATGAAAGCCGCTTTATTTCACAAAACAGCAATTCATATCTCGAAGGTTTTAAAAGCCTGTTTTCAAATATGTACAACAGTCATAAGTAGAGTGAAAAGTTGGGGGAGCCTGTTTTCTCGTCTCACTCACGTTGCGTCCTTGGTGCCTTCTCTGCAATCGTGAACCACGGATGCCCTGTTTAAAACCATCCCAAAAAAACACCTCACTAGCTATAAAATCATCCGAAATAATAATTATAAATGAATAAGTTATAGTATTTCTCATCAGAGAATTAATCTTAATCTTATGAAGAAAAAAAAAAAAAAGGCATACCCAGAGCTTCCTCGGCCGATAACCTTCTGCAGACATCTTTACAGACCATTCTTCTGAGCAGATCCTTGGCCTCTCGCGACACCGACTGAAAATACTGTCTAGGGAATCTCAAGTTACCTCTAAGCACAGCCTCGAAAATCTCCACCTCGGTTTCGCCGTCGAACGGCGGAGCCCCAGATAACATCATGTACAATATCACACCGCTGCTCCACACGTCCACTTTCTCACTGTACTCCCTGCCGCCCACCACCTCCGGCGCTACGTAGTACGGCGTCCCCACCACCCCGCTCATCAACTCCCGCTCCTTGAATATCTCGGCCGACCCGAAGTCGGCCAGCTTGAGCCGGCCATGCTGGCCCATGAACAGTATATTCTCCGGCTTGATATCACGGTGAGCCACGCCAAGGCGGTGGCAGTGGGAAACCGCTTGCATTAGCTGACGCATTATCCGAGAGGCCTCTGATTCGGGCACGGCGACGGAGCCCTGGGGAAAGCGTCGGAGCCGGCGGTGGAGATCGGCGCCGTCGCAGAGTTCGAAAATCATGTGGAGGTGGGTTTCGTCTTCGTAGACCTTGTGGAGGGTGACGATGTTGGGGTGAGGGTGGAGGAGCTGGGCGATCTTGACCTCGTTGGACAGGCATTGGGCGTCCAGAAAGTCGCCGGCCCCGACCACACGTTTGTCGATGGATTTCACGGCGAAGTAATCGTCGGCGTTGCTCCGGGAAGCGCACTTATAGACGGTGCCGAATCGGCCCCGTTCCAGCTCCGTTAATACGACAAAGTCTCGCTGCAGGGCTTTGCTCATCTTTCCTTCTTCTTCTTAAACTGGCGCACCATAACCAGGTATTTTCTCGGTGATCCGAGTTAGTTAACGAGGATGTCTCGCTAGCCTTATTTATATGTGTTTTCATAATATATTTAAATATTAAAATAATGAAAATATTCAAATATAATGCATGTATTATTGGATAAAGACGAGATAATTAGATGTGGAGAATCGTCACGTATTTCTTTCTATATGATTTTTACTTTTTTATCTATTTATCATTGAAAGGGGACCAAAACTATGCGCTCAATTCGTTAATATAAGGGAGCTCATTTTCAGTTGAGTGACCTTCTTCACTTTCATGACTTTTGGGGGAAGCAAAGAGCAGAAACCGTAAGATAATATGATACAATATGTATTAGGTCATTAGCTAGGATTAATTTATTGCTGCAGATTTGAATTGAATTCAGTTCATTTTTCTAGTTTCTGACATAAATGATCTATCTTTCTGATTGAGATGTGATTTGGTGAGGTGACTATAAAATACAAGAAAATCACATAGCCATTTTTAATAATGTTCAATTATATATATTTTTTATTCTTTGAACTTATATTTTCTTAAAAAAATTAAAAAATATATAAAATTTTCATTTATAATTAAAACGCATGCATATTTAAAAATTAGATTCTTTTAATTTTGTCAAAATGGCACAAATATTTTTCACTTTTGTAAATAAAAAAATATCTTCAAAAAATGCGATTTAATTGAGATATGTGTAATTTATTCTTTTATTATAAGAGATATGTATATGTATTTTAAAAATTAATAAAATTTATTAAAATTGTGTAATTATTTTTTATTTCACAAAACATGTTAATTTGTATACTTATTGTGAATTCCAAGAAAAAATTATATAATTTATTATTCATAAAATATTGGTAAAGTAGTCCATTTCAAATGATGCAAGCGATGGAGAAGAATGATGTGCTGAGAGGTGACCGATTTGTCTTGCACGAATATTCACATTAGCATTCCTAAAGCCAGCCAGTTGCCGAGTGTGAAAATTTCTGTTTGTCAGACAATAACAAATCCATATTTAATTTTTATAAAAAATTTTATTCTAAAATATAACATATTTAAATATATTAAAATTTTATTAAATGCAATAATTTTAATATTAATTTTTATTTTTATATAATTAATTTTTATTACTTTTCTCTTCATTGTATTAAATGATAGATATTTTAAAAAATTTATGTTTTTATTTTGAAAAGATAAAGTTGTTAAATATATTTAATAAAATTTATGAATATTTAAAATTTTATTTAAAAATATTTTATAATTTAAGACAGAGAGAGTATTTTTTACGTCTTCTTTCTCATTGTTGGGGCTTAAGCGATCGACTATAGGCTATTTTTTATTTAATTAGATGATTTAAATAACTTTTCAGTATTTATTTGGTATAAAACATTGCATGATGCTGCTATCATCGTGTCATTCTTGACAGTTACTTTCTCAAGGAAACCAACTCTTCCAGAAGAAAGGCTTGCTCGATTTAAGATGAGCAAAATAGTCATCTTTTCTATATGTTCTCTTTATTTATAGTAACTTTTTTAATATACCATTTGATTTGTAACCTTCAATTTTGGCTCATTTTCCAATTGGCGCATTGTCGATTTGTCGCTTTAATTCTGATGATAGATTGAGGTGGCTCTCGGACTAATTTTTCCCCCTAGGTAGCTTAAAGACAATCTTGTTTAAAATATTATTGAACACTAAATATAAACACTTTTTTTAATTAACATTCAAACTTTAATCGAACATGTTACATTTTAATCACATTGAAAAGCATTAAAATAAAAAATAAAGTTGCATCTAAATATACTGCAACATGAGTTACTTTGATTCAATAGGATTATAGTTAATATCCAGTTTATGTTTAGATTTGCATAATAGAAGATTGTCCAACTACTTAGCAAATAGTGACCTGCTCGGCAATATAATGCAAGGATCTTATTGTTTCGTCCCACACTCAAAAAAGCTCGTAGAGTTAGTGCAACTCAAAGTATGTTTAAACTTCCAATACAGCCGTGGCATTAGAATATATGTACTTAACACAGTTCTTTCTTCATAGCATAGATATTTCATAGGTCTTTTGGGTTTTTTGATCTCAAGATCTAACCCCTAACCTATGAATATACTTACATGTATATATATACACACGTCAACTTCAGAATATACACAATCGAAACACAAAACTTGATGTTATCCGACAGAACATACTGCTGCACTGCAGCACTTGAATACAGAAAAAGATGATTCTCTCCCAGTCCGCCATGAAGCTTCTAGTGAAATTTATGTGAAAAGCATTAACCTCCGATGGTTCCTGCATCGCAATTATGGAGTATTAGGATCTTACACCAAAGCCAACAAAATGGAAGGAAAGAAACCACATTCTGATTCTGCAAATAAAGATCAATTTTTTTATCAGTAAGAAATTAAAAATTTTAATCCCAATGGTCTGGAAAACAAACGGTCGTGTGAAGGTTAACTAAAAGAAAATTAAACTAACAATAACATTGTGATTCTAAATTGTTAGGAGTTTTTAGTTTCAGTCTCTGAAAATTAAGCGTGCAAGTTGATTCTCAATAATTAAATATTCGTCGTCCTTCAATCTTTCCAACGTCCCCAGACCACTTGACCAAAAAACTAACATGCAACAAGTTTTATTTTCAGGGATTCACTGATGTCCCTAGTATTTTTAAAAGACTGCAGCTAAGTAGGTCTAACAAGCAAATCATGCATGAACTTACTCAGAAATTAACTTTCCAAGAAGATATTTCTTAGGAACTTCCCAAGTATGATTAATTGAACCAAGCAACTGTTAAAAGTCCTAGAGATGCTTTTTAAGACTTCTAACCATGCCAAAATACTATCTTTCATCTCTACCTCCCTATTTTTTCAGAAAATGAGAAGAGAGGTAGCATACCATCTTTACTTGAACTCTGCTCCATGTCAATCTGTTCTTGCCATGATCGCTTCAATTCAGAAGATGAGGAACACTGTTGGGGAACAGAAAATGCATACGTACTGGCACAAGAAGTACTCTTCTGCCTCTTACTGGAAGAAGATTCACCCGTCGAGCACATCTCTTGATCAATGCTGGATACCTCTGTGCCATTTTTATGATTGCATAAACCATTATGGTTTTCTCCCCCTTCTTCCCTGCCTTTTGATCTTTTCTTATCAAGAGAAACAACATTCTTGGGATTCTGTAGGGTTGGCACCTTCTGATCATTTGATGAAGTAGCAGCACATAGAGTCTTCTCCTTCAAGACAACTTTCGGAATGGCCGAGTTTTGAACACCATTGGTGTTGTCAACAACTACTTCACTTGTCTCACCTGAGCTCCCTGCCTCAGTTTCCCACATCTTGAATATTGCTTCTGTCAGCCGTTGTCTGGCCAAATCAACCTCGATTATTGGTTTTGGATAATTTAGGCCCAACTCTACACCTGCTGCTCTGAGCACAATAAGTGGCGCATCCCAAGGATGATGGATCCATTCAGTTGGCATTCTTGCCAACTCAGGCAGCCAGTGCCTTACATATTCGCCTTCTGGATCAAATTTAACTCCCTGAATCTGTCCCCAGAAAAGAGCAAAAAAAAAAAAAAAAGAGGAATGGATAAGTCAGAATTTTAATTAGATATGCTTTGTGTCAGAATTTAATCTTTTGGAAGCTTTTTGGCTCTGAAAGACCAGAATTTACTCCTTGGACATGCAGCCAGTTACATTCCTTTAAACATAAAAAGCTAATAATAGTCTTAAGAATCAAGGACAGAATTTTAGCGTTGCTTTGTTCCCTATACATTACAGCCTTAGTAGATCCAACCACTAATATTTCTCAGATATCCCCTGTACTACATGAATAAGAACTTATGCATAAATACAGATTAACAGTTACATTTACCAGTGCCTTGAAGCAGACATGTAAAGCCTATTTTCTTTCACTCTCTTTTTCTTTTGACGGTCATCAAGACATTAAATAAGTGTACTAATGGACTGTGTCTCAACTCTCAACACATCCTTCAGATCGTGTTTAGCTTGTCAATAATCAAACACATAGTGAAAAAAATAAAGGGCAAAGTAGACAAAAATACTCAAAAAGTCGTTGGCCAAGAACATCGAATAGCCTAAAATGAGGAAAGTGGACGAGTGCACATGAAGTTATTTTTTCGGTGTATCTGTAACCAAACCATAAAATTTCAAATCCACAGCATAATATTCAATGTCTTTGAATTTTAATGATTTAGTCACAAATGCACTAAGAAAATAACTTTATGGATACTCGTGCATTTTTCCTCATTTCAGGCTACTAGATGCTCATAGCTGACGACTTCTTGGGTATTTTTGCCCAAACAACAACAATGAGCCCTATCCCATTAGGTGAGGTTGGCTACATAAATTGTCTTACACCATTGTCCATAGTTGTTTCTCATTTTTAAGCATCGGTAGTCAGCATAGTGTGCATGACTATATCAAATCATATGCTTTAACAACATTCTTTTGCCCAAAAGTAAAATATGGCAAAAAAAGATGCCAAAGCATATGATTTGATATGGTCATGCATAATATGCTAACTATCGAAGCTTAAAAATGAGGAACAATTATGAGCATGGGATAATCTTCTCTTAAATGTCATAGAGCCATCTGTATAACATTTTAATACAAGAAAACATGACAGACCTCTGGATTGTCCATGCGCTCAAGCTCATGACCATCTGGTAAGCTCCCAGAGATATACTGCCAGCCCAGGATATCACATTCAAGGTCTGCATCCAAAAGTGTGTCCCAGAAATATTTCATTCCCCATCTCCAGGGAAGAAGCAGAAACTTCACGGCAAAACTAGAAACTATCACTCGTATTCTATTGTGTATCCATCCTGTTGCCCAGAGTTCTCTCATTCCTGCATCAACTAAAGGGTAGCCAGTCCTGCCCTGTCTCCAAGCCTTAAAATTGGCCAGATCAGAATTCCAAGGAAAAAACCTCAAGTTCCCAAGCAATGGTCTCTCATGAGTGAATGGGAAATTAAAACAAAGATAACGTGAGTACTCTCTAAGTCCAAGGGCCCTGAGGAAAAGTGTAACACTCTGTTCACCAGCAATGTTTCTTTCGTTTGCCCATAATATCTGCTTCATGCGTGCGAGTTGAAATACTTTCCTTGCACTCAATTCTCCAAAATGAAGATATGGAGACAGGAGCGAAGTGGAGTCTCCACCAACCTTAAGCCTATTCTTTGAGTAGTCAAGTAGGTGATGTTCAACAAATTCAGTTAAAGCCTTGTCAGCATTGCTCCAACCTGGAGACCATGCTCTCCCTAATAATGCATTGCTGGACTTTTCTGATTCGTCTTCAAGTTCTAGTTCCTCAACTGAACATTTCTTAACTGTTCCTGCCATCAACAAACGAAGAGAAAACAAATTTCACCAGACATAATTTCCATTACACTAGATATTTCTCTCCCAAATTTATATCTCAATTTGAAAGCAGACTGATATATGAAGAGAATAGTATGATCACTTCAGTGTCAAATCTCATAGTAGTACTGTCTAAAAAAGCAAGACCTCACTTCTAATTTTCACACCAAAAGAAGATATTGCATGTTATAAAGTTTTCTAGCCTAAATTGGTTGAAACAAATCTTAAATGTTTAACAATAACCTTGTCAACCATCGTATTATATAAAGAAGGACCGATTCATATGAACTTGCATTTATAGTGATACCTTCAGCTGGAATTAATTGCCAAGGTGGAATAAGCGAAGCAGCTGCTACTTGCTTGCATAAGCATCTGTTCCAAAAAGGTTCAAAGGTTGTAAAAGCATGACCCATCTCATCATATATCTCCCATGGTTCATACAACAAATCCCCATTGTAGCTTTGCACAGATAGACCAAGTTCCACTAGTTTTTCTTTGATATTGTGATCGCGGACAAGTGAAACAGGATCTGATAAAATAATTAAGCCAAGGAATAGATATCAGATATCTTACACATTCTGGTGCAGAAATAGGATATAACACTATTAGGTCGTAACAAAGCACTACTCTAAATTGCTTCAGATAATTTTTTTCAAGTAAAGTGGCTCTTTGGGGGGAAGAAAAAAGAAATGTTTATCTGCTATATGATGTACGGTAATGAAATGCCCGGGCATTTAAACGATGAAACAATATTTCCTCCTCGTCTAGCTTGGAGTTGCACTCACTAATTTACTAAGCATGACAGCAACCCTTGCAACATGTACACCTTATTGGAATGAACAAACCAGAACATTAACTAATAGTTTATCATATATGTTACTTGATGCACAGTAGGGAACTATTAAGAGTATCGAAGTAGAATCCTCCAAGCACACATTGAACAAACATGCACTGTTCATTTTGCAATTTAGCAATTTTGACATAAATATATAGCCAGATGTGACAGTAGAGAAATGGTTCAGGCTATGGTGTAGCTGTAATCACTAATCATGCTGACAGGCAGCAAAATTAAGTTCTGCTTTAGGAAACTCCAACCAGCCTCGGATAATTTTCCACTTCAAGCAAGCACTTACCAATTATTTTTTAAATTCAACGTTTAAAGATGTGTTGTTTCCAGTTTTGGAGACTCATAAACTTAGTGCTTCTCTAACATCTCATCACAATACATCTCCAAGTCATTTGCCATCCTTGATCAAATGTCACTAATAAGTTGTATACAAAGCAAAGTTGTTAAGTCCTGATTAATATGCCTTAGGAACCACATCTATATTTCCACTGGATTTCAATACCTTAGATTAAATTTTGCCCTCCATTGGAAATTGAAGAGAAAAACAAAACAATCGGAGAGAGGAGGGGGAATGTCTTAGTTTATACCACAATGTCGTTATATTAATCATACATTCAAGAAATTGTTATAAGCAAAAAGATAATGACAAAAAAAAAAAAAATCATCATGACATTCAGAATTCAGGTCTAGGGATTGTCTTCAAGCACTATCCCACCTAGAATCTCTATCCTCAATCTCCAAATTGTTAATATGAAATGCTCCTTCTTTAATCTTTAACTTTCGGAAATCCAAAATTTTAATGGTTTCAGGTATATGTTAGGAAGCAATTCAAACCAGGCAAAAGAAGTTGAAACGCAAGGTTCATCTACCTCTTAAACACCAATACTTACCGTAGAGATGATTAAATACTACTTTTGTTGCTTGAATAGCATTTATACACTCCAAAAGAGCCGCAAGAGTACTGTCGGTCTTGATCAGCACAAGTTCAGCTCCAAGAGATTTAAGCGACTGACTTAGGTGGGCAAGTGAATGTTTCAGCCACCATCTTGACACTCGACCTGGATAAAACTGTCCTTCCTCCGTAGGGCACCATATATAGACAGGAAGAACAGAACCCTCCCTGGCAGCGGCAGCTAATGCAGGATTATCCTCAATCCTTAGGTCCCTCCTAAACCAGACTATAGTCCTGTTACATCCCATATTGGCTAATCAAGATTCTCATGGCAAACCAAAGCTTTAAATAACATAATTCTCTGAGCAGCTTGTCCACAAGTTTTCTGTCACCCAGCAACAGGCACAAGTTTCACTCAGAGATCCATTTTGATATCGCCACGAGCTGAAAGCATATTAAAATGGATAGCTCAGCCGCTGGCTACTGAACGTTGAATCTGACATTGTGCGAGAAAAAAAATATAGATATGTAGCACTGAAAATCAAATCACTGCCGAATAGACTTTGCAAGCAGATATGAGACCAACGAAGATCTTATCTGGACATTAAACTTCTATGTCAATTTGTCCTCCATAAGGCATCCAATCTCAATCTAACAGAGGGACATCTTCCCCACATGTCCCAATCTCACCAATTCAAATCCCACAAGTTGGGGCAAAAAAGTAGATGAAGGAAGAGAAAATCTCCAATTATCAAATTTCAGAAAAGATTCTCCAAGATCCAACAAACACTAACCTAAAGAATAAGATTCTGCTAAATACCACGATTATTAAAAGATTTTACTCAATAAAGAACGTTATCAATCAGCAACTTGTGCTGGAGATTACGTCAAACAGTAGGCCAAAAAAACCTTGATGATAAAAGATGACAGCTGGGGAGTTCTCAAGTCTACCCACAAGGCCGATTCTAGCTCCTGCTACACAGAAGGCCAATTACACATACCCATAAAGCCAATTAGATAGAAGGTCATGAAAGTATGGCTGAAGATGATATTAGGAAGCGCCAAATCATATTGGATAATCGTGGATTATAGGCGAAGTTAACCTACACTGTATGTTTTGTTGGCATCAAAGTCAGATGAGACACAGTCATGAAATGTCGTTTTGCGAGAATTGTGTGGATACAATTAGTGAGAGATCACGTGGTGGAAGATAGTGGGTGACAGTCACACATAACTTTGTAATAGTGGACAAAAGGGTAAATAAAATGGAGAGGGGAATCCTGCCAAAAAAAAAAAAAATGGAGAGGGGGAAGATAAGAACGCATCTAGGCGCAAGCGGAGCAGCAGTTTCTTGGCTTCACTTTCACATGAAAGGACAGTTTTTACCGCAGTAGACACCATTATCGTGCAAGTGGCGGGGGTCTTGAATTGTGGGATTTTGGATCAACCGTGGTCTGAATCTGACTAGAGGAGTCCAGAAGCAAAAGAATCCGGCGCAGCATCAACATCAAGGTCGAATATAATTAATTAATTATAAAATATTTGTCATTTATAAAGAAGATTAATGAAATGATTTCTCTTTAGTATAAACATTATCTCATCAAGGATAAGGTTCACCTGTAGTTCTTTTCGTGTTTGTTTCCAATCTAAACATTGTGTGGGAATGAATTATTCTAAGGATTTAATAATAAATCTTTAAGCTTTTGTTTGGAAAAATTAATTATATTTAAGGGCTTTTTTTTGTTTTGTTCCCATTTTTTATTTTTTAAAAAATAAAAAGTATTTGTATTTATGTTAATTTTAAAATAGTTTTAGAGTTAGAAAACAAGATCAATCAATAGTAACGACCAATAATAATAAATGATAATGGTTAGCTATAATTTGTTATAATTGCTCCACAAGGTTGCCAACGATCAGTTGATATTTGATAGTAACAATCAAATTTATCATCAGCAACAAACATAACATGATGGTTGGTAATGATTAACAATGGCAATTAAAGATGGTGTCTAAACTCTAAAACTAACAATGGATGTTGGTGGTGGTTAATAATAGCAATAAGTGGTAGTAATTGATGGTAGTAGTGATCGTCAATCATAACAATCAATAATAATGATTAATAAAGGTTGACAACAATAGCCTGTGACAATAGCTGGTAATAAGAGTTGATATCTGTGACAAATGGTGTTTACAAATTTGGTTTGATCTAGTTTTGAGGAAAAAAAAAATAAAACTAAACCAAATTCATCAGTTTGCCAAAGTCTGAGACCTATTCAATTTTTTAAATAATCAGCTTCATTCAATTTTTGAACTATTCAATTCATATTGATTTAGGTTTGAATTAGGTTTTAAATTTTTTTTCTATAAAATATTTTCACAATCAATTCACCTACATATTTACCAATAATTTTTAACCATTAATTACTATTTTCAACAAAAAACCTTGAAGAAGAAGAATATTTTTTAATAATTAATTAGCACATTTATCTATTAAAAACCAATATGTTATCTACTTATTTGTAAATTACTTGATTATAGACAAGATTTAGTTAATTTTAACATATTTTTTACAAGTAAAATACAGACAATTAAATTTATGAAAGAGAAAACAATTCTAAAAATTTATAAGAATATATAATAAATATCATGAGACTTGTTTCTGTTTGGTTTGAGCGTCAAGAAACAAAAACTTGAGCCGAATTAAACTAATTAGTTTTGCCTAAAAAAAAAAACTGAATTTTATTTATAATTAGTTTGTGTCATGGTATAATTGATCTAGATTGATTTTGCATACTTTTATACATGACTTTGTGGGTAATGGTGAGCTGTGGCAGCAGAGGTGGCTGGCAACAACGATCGATGTTTTAAAAATGTAGCGTATATTTTTCAAAAAGGAAATAACTTTAAAATGTTTATTTTCCTTTTAAAAAAATAAGAACAATTTCATAAATCATTTAACTGCAAAACACCTACTTAAATAACTTTTTGCCCATTTTTAAAAAATGGAAATAAAACATGGCCTCAATTTTCCATCCCCCCCCCCCCGGTTTCCCCTTGTAGAACTCATTTTTGAGACAGCTTTTTAATTTTAATTAGCAATGTGATGCCTCTTGCGGATCAACTCACTCCTTTCCAGTTTGAGAGATCACTCTATAACGTGTAAGTTTAATTTTGTGCTCCTCGTGATGGTATACTATCATTTTTACGACTTTCAAAAGAATGAAATTGAAACAAAATCTAATTTTTGAGCAATAAAAAAAATTAGGGGAATTTTCTTGAAGGTGGGCTTTTAAAACTTGATTCCTGTTAGCTGAGCGCAGTGGATTATAGGTCACGAGGAACCAGGCTTTGTTAGTCACCCCGCTTGCCAGGTAATTCTCTTAAATGTTGATCCGTACTAAAGCGATTATAACCTTTTCTTCTTGGATTAATGCATGTTGATAGCAGGCTCCTTTACTAATGTTAACTACTTAATTTTGTAATATTTTTTCTGCAATATATTTTATCATCATTCCGGGAGAGGAAAAAAAAAAAAAACAAGAACTGTGTGGCTTTGTTGAAAAGGGTGGCTAAGCCTTGCTTTTGTGGGTGAAACAAAAAGGCACCTTTCGATGTTTTTGTCTGAGATATTGTTTTTGATGAGGAAATGTGCATGCAAGGTAATCCAGCTGTTGCCAAGGGAGATGTGCCCCTTCCTGTTTTGGGTAAGAATCATTGATCAAATGAAGGCTCTTTGATGCAGACTTCTATCCATGCAATTTAGAAAGTGATAGGCTGAGGTTTTTGCTCCTCATGCTCTTGTGTTTTGGTTTTGTGCTTTTCAATACAGTTACTTTTTATGTTTGAATGACTTACTTGTTAAATAACGTTCCTATTGAATAAATATTTTTTTTAATCTTTTAATTTATAATTATTTTTAAAAAAATATTTTTATTCAATAAATTACTTTATATTTATTTTAAAGTAAAATATTTTATTAAATAGAAGTAAATATAAAAAAATAAAATTAGTTTGAAGACAAATCTACATTATTGGGAGTAATACTTGATTAAAAATGCTTTATATTTTTTAATAGAGAGAGTAGTTGTCATCTTTCTTCTTTTTTATTTTTTTTTGAATAAATTATATAAATACTCCATCAGTCCTGGATATACGAGTTATATAAATAATCTATAGAGAGTAAAAAAATTAGCTAAATTACTTATTTATAAAAATGTGCTTGATTTCTTTAAAATATCCCCTTTAATCATTTGCACTGAAACTACCACATGGATGAAAACCCTCCTTTAATATCTGTAATCAATAAGGATAATTTGAAAAAAAAAATTATAAATTCGAGAAACAAAATGAATTGAAGCCTTACATTAGGAACCAAAAATAAAATTTCAATTAGCTCCCATCTTTAAGACAGGAGGGATTATTCTTTTTCATCTTTTGAAATTAAATATATAGTATATAAGATTTGTATATTACAGTCTTAAAATAAACTCCGCAACTCATAACAAAAACAAATAGTGCAAGAGACATACCAACAAATTTTTGGAATCAATGTATGTAAATATTTGTATTGATATACGTGAATCTCTCCTAAAACAAATAGTTACTCCTCACTTAACCTGATTAATTTTTGTCCAAATACCAATTTAAACGCCTTGTTTTGTTTTTAAATTTATTAATTTAATAAATATTATTTCAGTAAAAGATTAAAAAAAAACTAAAATATGAAATCATTTTATGTTTTTAAAGAAAATACATGTACTTCCAGAATTGATGAGAAGATATATAATATCATTAGTAAGGGGGAAAAAAAACTAGTATAACTCAGTTTTCATGCCCCATTTCGAGCTTTATCCGACTTCTTGACGTTGGTGGAATTGTTTATTGGCAATTTGAGTGCAATACTACAGAAAAAAAAATATATTTTCCCATGGCTTGTCACATCAATTTTTTTTAATAAAATATTGAAGCCAAGTTCCATACTCATATATTAAAAAAAATTTTGGAACTCGATAGGCATCAAACCAATTTTTAAATTTGTAATATATGAAGAAATACTTTTTAAAATGTAACAAATGGGGAAATTTTTTTTTTTTTTTGCTGTAGTATTGCAGTCAAATTGCCTTGTTTATTTCGTGCAAGCACTGTGTGTCATAATTTAAAGATCATTTTAAAAGCAGTAACGAAGCAGCGAGCGAGCGAGAGAGAGAGTGAGAGTGGGAAGGGGGGAAGACTATTTGCAAGCAAATGGACACCTAATGAAAACCGAGCAGTTATCTTATCCCAATTGCAATGACGGCAGTAATGAGAATGATCATTAAAAATCAAAAGGTCAAAATATAACCTACATTTCTAAAGAAGGTAGTGTCCATATGTCACTAAGCTGAAATAAAATTTCTAATCATAACATTATCACTGCCTTATCTCCCTTGGATGAAGCTACTTTGACGTTTACCTACTAACTTGTTGATTACTCCTTTAATTCTGTTGGTTAGCACCGTAGACACCACTTTGTAGCTCACATTGCATGAGGAAATAGGCTTAAATTCTTTCATACATTTCGGATGTTCAACTTTAGGAATTAGCACCAGATTTGTTTGATTAAGCTTTATAATATCATGTGGTTGATTGAAGATACCTTTCACCATCCATGTAACATCATTCCCTATCATTTCCGAAAAATGTTGGTATATGAAAACTTGGGTGCCATCGGGTCCCGATGCCTTCAAAGCTCCCATGTCAAAGATTGCATTTTTTATTTCCAATTCGAACACTTCCCTATGAATTGACTCCATTTCTGCTTAACTCAATTCTGAATAAGATTTTTGAGTATTGGAGTATGGTAGCCTACCTCCCTCTAACATAAATAGAGTCTTGTAGAAGTTGACTGCCACAGACCTTAGCTCTTTTTAATTATCAATCCAATTTCCCTATTCATCCTCGAGTGCTTCAATATTGTTCCTCTTTCTTCTCAGTTTGGTGGAGGCATGGTAAAAATTGTTGTTTCGGTCTCCATATCTTAGCCAATTGCATATTGACTTCTAGTACCACATAAGTTCCTTTAGGGCAATGGTTTTGTTATATTCATTCCAT